CTCATTCAATCGATCAAGCGAAGTCTTACATAGCGAATAAAGAAGGTGCCACTTGTTATTCACATCGCAAAGAGACAATTGACATAATTTTCGAGCATCTGGGAATCAGTGGTATTCAGGAGTTTTTAGGGTGTCCCAGAACATCGATGGCCGGTTTGCCGNACAGGGCCAGGGTTGCAAATTAGGCTCAAAGAAACTTCATTGAGAAACAAAGAAAAAAATCCAGAATTTTCTATTATGCAAAGAAGTTTTGTGAGAACAAAACAAAAACAAAATCTACGTACCGTTTGGAACTTTTTTTGTTTTTTTTTCATATAAAGTGGAATGCGCGGAAAAGTGATCTACTGTGAAATCCGAATCGAAGTTCAAAAAAGTGCAGAGTTTTCTCTAAATCTCTTTCAATCGAGAAATCTCTCGTTCAATTCAGATAAACCCCTTCCTTTTTCTTTCGGACTTAAAGTCTTTCCGATTTGTACGGTCTCAATTTTTTGACTATTTCGAATGAACAGTTGCATTTTTGCGTCATTTTCTAGAAAAATTCTCGAATTCGGAACAATTCGACAGCAAAAAAAAATCAATTTTTACATTTGAACTTTCAAAAATTTTCAGATGAACGAAGCGGTTATCAAAGATAGAGTCATCGAAGAAGATTTCAATTTTACGTTCAGAAATGGCGAATTCGTCGAAGTGAAACAAGAAGAAATTGAACAAAAACCAGAATATCTTCTAGAACAAGAATTCAAAACGGAGACGAATGATGATTATTTCGAAAATACAAATTCGGATGAATTTCCTGAAGACATCAAACCGGAGCCAAAAGAAAGTGATTCTCCTTTTGAGAAGGTGCCCAAAGAAGCCGGCGATTTTCAATGCGAAATTTGTCAGAAGATGTTGTCAAGAAAACTTTTAAAAATGATCAAATCGGAAGAGGACAAAACTGTTCTGTCTGAAATTTTCAAAGTTGAAGGGTTTGGCGAAATAAATCCGACATATGTTTGTTATTCTCATATTCAAGCAATTATTGATGATTATGACGGAAAATTGAAGTTAGCAAGAACTTCATTTGAGAGAGTTTTGCGCTCATTTATTAAAAAAAACAAAACAATTATGCAAGTCACCAAAAAAGGTCCATCAAATTAATGATTACAATTTTCAGGAAAGTGAGGAAATCACGACGACAAAATTGCCAAGTTTGTCACATGAATAAACCGCATTCTGAATTTTATGATATTTATTCAAAAAGAATTCGAATGGTGATAATGATTGGATGCATTCTTCGTGACACTCATTCAATCGATCAAGCAATTTCTTACATAACGAATACCAATGGGATGACATGTTATTCACACCGCAAAGAGTCCATTGACATGATTTTTGATTACTTGGGAATCAGTGAGATTCAGGAGTTTTTTAGGTTCCCCAGACATGCGATGGGCGATTTGGTGAATATTGCGAAGAATTTCGATTCGGATTTCACAGAAGATCACTTTTTCCGGGCATTCAGCACTCTTTATATGAGAAAACCAAAAAATGCTCCAAGTAGTTTTTAGTAGTTTTTGTTGGGGCTCATTGCATAGCTCTTGATAAAATGGAAATATTGAAAATTACTCAAAATTGGTTTTTCACGGCATCGCGGTTGGGAACCTGGAAAACGCCCGCTTCGTCGCACACAAAAGTTGGCTGCGTGCCAGATTCGAAAATTTTGAAACGTGTTTTGAAAAAAACGTGAAGTTAAGCGTTGTTGAGTCGCTACTCACCGAAAAGCCGCGACGCGACCGCGCAACGCGTCCAAACTTGGCGCGCTTTCCAATTTTTAAATCTAGGTTCCCTTCCGCGAGGCCGTGGTTTTTTAAAGGCTGAGCAATCTGAAAATTTTCCAAAATTTTCAAAATCGTCCAATTTCGATAAAAATTGATATCAAAACTAGGTCATGTCCTAGAAAAATTGGGTCGTGGCCTAGCAAAAACTAGGACATGCCCTAGTAAGGCCAATTTTAAGTCGTTTTTGACCGATTTTCGATCAATTTTCATGATTTTCATTCAATTTCCAGCCACCAAACAATCAAAAGTCTGTAACTTGATAAATTCTGTTTTCCAGAACGATGTCCACTGTGCTCTCACGAACGTGCGTACTTCATGCAACTGCAAACGCGCTCCGCCGACGAACCGATAACCATCTTCTACCGGTGTGCCAACAACTCGTGTGCTCATCGCTGGAAGGAATAAATGGATTCTGAGATTTTCTGAAAATTTGAATTTTTGTTGATTTTGTCGTTTTTCCCCCCATTTGCTGTACTCAATTTTCCAGATTTCTGAATACAAAAATTTTATTGAAGAATGAAAATAAGAAAAAAAATGAAACACATGAGAGGGGAACGGAACTGCAAAAAGTTTGATCAGCATGCTTGATAATCACAGTATTTGTTGGTTTTGTAGCTTTTTATATAAATTACATTATATTGTGATTCCTAGAATTTTGTTATTGGAAAAAGGAACGTTCAAAATTTTAGTTTCAGAAAACCATGTTTAAAATATAATTTGACCAATAAATCCGACCTATGCCTGTCTCTCTCTCTCTTATTCAAACGATTATTGATGATAATGACGGAAAATTGAACATACCGATTACTTCATTTGAGCATCTTTTGCGCTCATTTATTTAAAAAAAAACACAACTTTGTAAGTCACCAAAAAAGGTCGATCAATTTAATAGTTACAATTTTCAGGAAAGAGTGGAAATCACGCAGACAAAATTGTCAAGTTTGTCACATGAATAAACCCCATTCTGAGTTTTATGATATTTATGCTAAGAGAATTCGAATGGTGATAATGATTGGAAGCATTCTACGTGGCACTCATTCTGTGGAGCAAGCAAAGATGGTTTATTTTCACCATTTGGTACCTGGTCATGAGAAAAACCGTGCCAGGGTTGCAAAATAGCCTCCACCCCCTTTTTTCCTCCCAGATGGCTCTTCCCACTTTTTGTTTTCCTCCCAGTTGGTGTGCTCTCTCTTACAGGGGTACGGTCTACAAAATAGTACACAGTCGGTGTTTGCGTACAAAGAAACCCAAGATTCGCCGAACAATTCGCGAATTAAATTTTGTTTTCTCATTCTCAATAGATTCTCATCAAAACCTGTGTTTAAACTCCGGTTTTCAGATGAAAATCGAAGAGGAAATCCTCCAACTAATGAATTATGTCCCTGAACGAACGAAAAATGCCACATCGCCAATGAATCTCGCCCAAATTTGCCGAAATTTCGATGCGAAATTTCAGCCTTGTCTAACCTTAAGTTGTATAAATAAACGGTATTTTTTGGGAAAATAATGTATATTTTAATAGCAAAAATTCGTTTAAGACTCCTCACAAATCGTCTAAAAATTCCGAAAATGCAAAATTTGGACATGGATACTAAAATTCAAATGATGTTCGCGTTGAGTGTTCCACTGGAGACGGGCTTTCTGGAAGAGTGATTATTGATTTTTTATAATTAATTAATAATTGATTTTGATTGTTTTTTGGGTAAAAAGCAAACAGAAGTTCTGGAATTGGACGATCAACACCGAATTTTAAAATATGAGAAAAAATCAATGGAAATTTTCAATTTTTCCAATAGATGGATCGATATTGCTAACAGATTGAATCCAGAAGAAAGCGAAGAAGATCAAGAAGAATTTATCGATTTTTTGAAGTCCTTATTCGAAAAAACTAAAAATTTAAAGGCTCCGCTGGATGTAAAAGCGTTGGATCAGGAGTTTCCAAAATCGAAAATTCTCAAAATGAAGAAAAAATCGAAGGAATCGATGAATTTGAAATTTCCAAAAAAGCGGAAATCGCATTCGCATTGGGTGTAGAGATTTCTGAAAGATTTTTTAGAGAGTGAGAATTTGAAGCGGGAAATTTGAAAATTCCAAATTTTCAGACTCCGAGAATCCGCTGAAATTGTCGAAATCGATACGAAAAATCGGATCACAAAATATATAACAAATGATCTGAAATTCGAAGGAATTCATGAAAAATCGATAAATTTTAATTTAAAAAGACGATTGTCTAGTGATAAGGAGAATGTTCCAGCGGAGAAATCGGCTAGAAAATCGGAAATTTCAGAAGAATTGAGCCTAAAAGAGTTCTTGAGGAGCCTTCTACTGCCAATTCGAGCTCTGAAATCTCCAATGATGACACGTGTGGAATTCAGAATTGAGGCGATCTGTTTTGAAGAAGGAAGCGATGATAAAGTACTCGAATTTTTTGAATTTGACCCTTTTTTAAATTTCTGAATTTTTAAATTTTCGACTCGAAAAGTCAATAAAAATTTAATAATTTTTCAGAAAATTCCAATAAAACGGATCCACGAGACATTGGTGTCTTCTCTTCGCCTCCTCACGACACCTTCTTCAGAATCCAATTCAGAATCCACGTGTCTTTTCGATTTTTTCTATAACCTCGAAATCGCCATTCGTTTCATTCGTCATCCAATAATAGACAGTTTTCAGAATAAAATGAAAGAACTGATTTCAGAACATGCAAATGATCAAGAAGTCTGAAAATCTGAAATTTTCAAAAAGAAAAATCGATATTTTTTCAGGAAATCCCAATGATCAATGCTCGATCTGCGTTGGAAGCGATCATCGATGCTGTGATTAATGTGTGATTAATCAATTATAATTATTTAATTATTTTTTCATTATCTTCGTTTTAATAAATTTCTTGAATAACACTAAAAATTCAAATTTCCGCTTAATTAAAAAAAAAGGATTTTTAATGAAAAAATTGTCAAATTTTCTGAAATTTCACATTTTTAGAACAAAAAAATTGAGAAAAAAAATTAATTTTCTGAAATTTCAGATTTTTTTTTTCAAATCTTTAAACACGAAAAATCTGAAATTTTAGGAAATTATATTTGGTTTTTTTCTCAAATTTTGTGTTTAAGAAATACGAAAATTCAAAAAAATCAACAAAAAAAAGTCGAAAAAAGTTTCCTGAAAAAAGTGAAATTTTGGGAATTTCAGAACTTTTTGAGTAACAATTAGGGGTATAATTCAAACATAGCCCCCACCTTATAAACAACTATAGTAGAGCCCCCCACCAGTACAAAAATGGGTGGGGGGGGGCTTTTGTTGAATTGGTTGATTGAAGTATGACCCCCACCAGTACAAAGTGGGGGCCTATACTTGAAGAACCTGGTATTCTTAAAATATGACCCCCACCCCTCCCTGCCTTCTTCAATTAAAAGCCCCCAACCATTTAAAAATAGGGCAATTACTCTTTGACTACACCACTCTTTGACTACAAAGTCTCTTTGACTACACTTTTTTGTTTTATAGTACTTTTTGACTGAATTTATTGGAGTTTCCGATTTTTGTCTCATATTATAGGCTTAGGCTAAAACACCAGTTTTCCGGTAACCTCTTCAGCCTAAGCCTTTGATTTGTACAGAAAATATAAAATTTTGGAAATCTCAGCGAAAAAAGTGAGAATTTTGCTGATTTTCGCGAATTTCAGTACGTTTTTCACTGTTATGTATTTTTGGAATTGTCAGTTTTCTGTTTAAAATTATAGGCTTAGGCTCAAATTCTTCTTATATTCTGTAAGAACGCCCACAAAAACTGCAGAAAATTAAAAAAAAATTTTAAAGTGTAGTAAACGAGACTTTGTAGTCAAAGAGACAAGTGTAGGCGAAGAGATAAATGTAGTCAAAGAGACTTTGTAGTCAAAGAGTAGGTGTAGTCAAAGAGTAATTGCCCAAAAATAGCCCCCCCCCCTCCCCCGAGAAGGGAAGCTTACCTGGGCCCCCCACTTTATTCAAATATGACCCCCTCCCATTCAATTGTAGCAAGGTTCCATATCTAAATATATTTTTCAGAAAAAAATCCCAAAAACAATACAAAATGGTGAAAAATGACAAAAATTTTATACCGTTTTTTAATTTGAAAAAAAAATCAAAGTGAATTTTATTTTTTTAAATTCTGAAAAAAGGTTCAAATTTCGAGATTTTTAGATCTTTTAGGTTCAAAATATGCAATTTTTCATTCTAAAAATGGATTCCAAAAAAAATTCAAATTTCCAAAAATCGAAAAAAAAATTGTAGAAAATTGGTTTAAAAATATCCAATTTTCAAAATTTTTAGAACAATTTTTTTCAGAGAAAAAAAAAATGAAAATTCAAGATTTTTCGAGAATTTTATCACTATTAGACTGAAAATAAGGTTCAAATATGGCGGCAAGTTCAAAAAAAGGTTAAAAATTAAAAAAAAAGCTCGAAATTCAAAGAATTGAGATTGTGAAAAATCTCCAATTTTTAAATTTTTAGAAAAAATTTTCTGAAAAAAATTTTAATTTTTCCGAATTTCATCACTTTTATACTGAAATAAAATTCAGGAATTTCATAAAAATTTTCCACATTTTTAGTTTAAAAAAAATTCCGAAATTTTTCAAATTTCTCAATTTTTTTCAATACAAAAAAAAACAAAAATACATGAGTCTTGTTATTCATTTCACACGAATTTTCAAAAAAATACACGAAATAGTACAAAAATAATGCAATTTTAAATTAGTATCCTCCTTCTGCTCTTCTATTGCTCATCCTTCTTCTTCTCGTCTCCAGATTCTCTCTTTTTATCAATTTGAGCACTTGTAGATAAAGAAACTTCAACTTCCCGCTTCGAATTCTTCATAACTTGATCATAAACCTTTTGATAGCCATTCACCGATAAATATCCATCACAAATCAATTTAACAAAATCCCAAAGATCTGATTTTTTGTCAAAGAAATGATTGAAATATTCATTGAATACAGATTCTGGAGTCGAGTCGGATTTTGTGAAAATCGCTGCTACCGTATTCTCTTGAAATGATCTATAGAGCACATAATCTGGATTCGTCGTACGACATTCTTTACACGTGGCAAGAAGCGGAAATAGATTATGACACTTTTTCTGGGTGTGGATGAACTGCCGGAACTGCAAAAATGAGCATTTAGGGGATCCAAATTTGGAATTCGAACTGCAAGATTATTGTTCGGTGGAGCGCGGTTGAGCTAAAATTTTGAATTTTCTTTAATTTTCCAAAAATTTGGGATTTTCAATAATTTGAAAATTCGAAATTTCAGAATTTTCCAAACTATTGCAATATCGTTTGTTCGAAATTCATTTTTAAAATGAATCTGGAAAAGTGGGCGGAGCCTAAATTGCAAGCGCAACACAGTTTCACCGCACAGTTACCTCATGGAGAATCGCAAAGTAAATGTAAATGTGCCCTCTTGCCCACTCTAAAACTGCCCTTCTTCGCCTAGGTTCCCATAATTCTTCCCATCCTCTCAATATTGCGGGTGTCACACTTACTCCCTCCTCCTCCGTCCGGGACTTGGGACTCATTACTGATTCCTCTCTCAAATTCTCTGCTCACATCAACAAAATCACATCTTTAGCTCTTCTCCGTTCCAAACAACTCTTAAAGTCTTTTAGATCTAAGTCTCCAGAATTCTACATTCATCTTTTCAAATGTTATGTTCTCCCGATTCTTGAATATTGTTCTGTAGTTTATTCCCCTCCGCCTTCTTCTCGCCTTGCTCTAAAACTAGAATCTCCCTTAAGATTTTTCTCTATTGTCTATTCAAAATAATC